GGAGGGAGGCACCACTTATAAAGATCAAAAAATTAGTTAAAATATCCAAATCTGATCACTAGTTCACTACGCACATGCTCTCCTTAATCTGTCTATTTAAACAACTAAGGTTCATCCCTATTCCATCTATCATAAGCATAGAGTACAGTATATCCTACGACTCTATCAGTCAAAAGAACAAGCAGCCTAAACTGCCCTTCTACAGTAATGAACTTCATGATTTCAGAACTTAAATAGCACATTAAATGTTTTGCAGAAAATTTTACCACACAAGTTATTGTAACACGTGATTGTAAAGACCTGGGAGCAGAACCAATTAATGTTCCTCATTGTTGTGATCTTTGCATGCTTTCCTGGCTGTCAAACATCAAGTGAATTTTATGACAAGAAAATAAAAGAAACGAAAAGTTTGAGGAAGTGCAAGACATACCTTAATTGCATATTGCTCTGCAGGCAAACCAAATGCATCCCATCCCATTGGATGTAGCACATTGAAACCCTGCATCCGTTTAAGTCTAGCAAGGATATCTGTGGCAGTATATCCAAGAGAAGGCCAACATGCAGACCAGCCCCAATGCAACAATGACACAATTTCGTATAAAATAAACTTAGATGACTATTCTTAATCTTAAGCCGTTGAGATATGAAATACAAAATTTGTTCAGCTATCTTTTAATTTGTCTCTTAAAGCCCTCGCCTTCACCATTCCCAAGCAACCATATTATTTTACTAATCTTCTTATTCCAGTTCAATTTTGTTCATAATTTAATGAAGGGAATAGTTGGCACAATGATGCAACAACCCAATGGGCTGAAATTGTTAGCCCAATTAACTGAATAAATTGGTTTTATTATTTGGTGCAAAATCGTGTGTTGATTGAATGAAGAAGTCGTGTTTCTACTTACCCTGTTTTTGGACGGTCAGGATGTAGCCAAGAGTAATCACCACAGCCGTTGGATGAAGGGCATGAGCACACGCATCACAAAAGGAGGAAGTTATTGAAGGATCAAAAGGCAGCTCGTGCTGCTGCAGAATGGAACGAACAAGCTTCAGGGAGGCATGTCCAAGTCGTGAATGCCATGTGGGAATAGAGATATCAGTTGTGAGGGCTGAAGGTGACGGTGGAGTGAAGGAGTATAGGCCATTATTGACGGTTCCGCGAAGGAGGGGCTTCCCCGAATGGCAGTCCTTAACACAAAAAGAATCAGAAAAGAATTCAAAAAATGCATTATTATCAACACAGAATTGTCGGACTGAAATGAGATTCTTTTGGAATGAAGGAACACATAGGATATTATGAAGAAGAAAAGTGTTAGGTGGGGAAGAGAGAGAGGCCGAACCAGAGTGGGAAATGGGGATAGTACTTCCATCACCAACACGTAGGTTTTCCTCGCCGTGATAATCAGCAGCCTGGAGATTCAAGTTCGACAGATCACTAGTTACGTGGTTTGTTGCTGCAGTATCCGGATACCAGGATGAATCAGGAACATAAGGGACAGATGAGTAATGTGCTGTAGCAGGAGCAGGACTTGTATAAGCTTGATTGAACCTGTAGAGACAAGTAAGAGCACTGTGCCCTTGCCGATTGCAAACTTGGCAGACAATGCGAGTAGTAGAGCCATTTTCCCTGCTACCTGGCGGTGGACCACGGCCACCACGATTAAAGCGACCACTACGGCCTCTGTATTGATTACGGCCACCGCGGTTTAGACTACCACGTTGTGCAGGTTGCTGTCTGGCAGTGTAGTTGGCTGAGACCTCATTTGAGAGAAGACTGATATGAGAGTGATGCTGGAGACGTGCTTCATGAGCAAGAAGATGACCCAAAAGTTCCTCAGGA